ATTCCGCAGGCGCTGTAACTTCAACCTTGCATCAAAAGATCAAATTTATGATTAACAATCAGATGGTCATCATTGAGGGTGAGGAAGATGTTCTTGTGAGCCATCTTGCTTCTTTCCGCTATGTGGAAGTAGGAAATGAAGTGCATGAGACACCGTTTCAAGCTTTTGAAGTGATCAATGTTGAAATGATTTACGAAAAGCCAGCATCTTCAATAGTGACTTGGAAGGACGCGAGGACGGTGATAGAGGAAGGATATCCGCAAGGACGGGGCAGGGTGTTAGAATTGCCCGTCAACAAAAATGGAGCTGGTCTAGGCTACAAGCAGAAGAATGCAACTGATAAGGGCAAAGAGCTTGCAACTCCGTTGGTTTTTACTAGTGGAGGCCACCTTGTCGATGGTCAAGTCATGTTTTTGGAAACTGAAGCCGAAGATCATGAAGAGCTGTGTATGGTGTATCCTAGGGCGCCTAATCAAACTTTGAACAATTGGAGAGTCATTGAAATCCCCGAAGTTACTCTAGTAGACGAGTAATTCCCTTTTATTTTATCTAAAAAAAATCATATGCTCTGCCCAAGGCATATGGATCATGTTGTAGGGCCTTTTGCTTTTAAAGCACAACTTATCATCAATAAATAAACTTTCGCATCCAATTACGCTCTCTTTCTTTCATTTTTACTTTTTGCACATAAAATTATCTTTGAAAGACAATGTTTTGTTTTATTTTCCTTTGTTATGTGAACCTTTTCTAAAAAAAATAATAATAAAGCATGAAGTCATTCATCGTGCAGATCTTCCCTTGCTCCTGTCAATAACGACCCCGCTATGGTCCAATATGACTTTGATAACCCGATCTACCAAGCCGACGAAGACTGCGAGGAAGATTGTGATCTCCCAGAAGAGCTAGCTAGACTATTGAAGCAGGAGTCAAAGGTCATTCAGCCCTACCAAGAAGAGGTCTAAGTCATCAACATGGGAACTGAAGAGGATGCCAAAGAAATCAAGATAGACGCAGCTTTGGAGTCAGAGATTAAGTCAAAACTGATAATATTGCTTCGAGAGTATGTTGACGTATTTGCTTGGTCTTACAAAGATATGCCCGGTCTAGATGAAGAGATTGTGATGCACAAACTACCTCTCAAGGAAGGCTGCCCGCCGGTGAAGCAAAAGTTGAGGAGAACAAAGCCAGAGATGTCCTTCAAGATCAAAGAGGAAGTGCAAAAACAATTAGACACTGGTTTTCTGGAAGTATCCAACTATCCACAATGGATAGGGAATATTGTCCCAGTACCTAAAAAAGATGGGAAGGTGCGAATGTGTGTAGATTATAGAGACCTCAATAGAGCGAGTCTGAAAGATGACTTCCCTTTGCCGCACATTGATGTGCTAGTAGACAACACGACCCAGTTTTCTGTCTTCTCATTTATGGATGGCTTTTCTGGATATAACCAGATTAAGATGGCGCCCGAAGATATGGAAAAGACGATTTTCATCACTCCATGGGGAACTTTCTATTACAAGGTCATGCCGTTTGGGCTTAAGAACGCAGGCGCAACATATCAGCGAGCAATGGTCACTCTTTTCCATGACATGATACATAAAGAGATTGAGTGTTATGTAGACGATATGATTGCGAAATCCCAGACTGAGGAAGAGCACCTCATCCACTTGGAAAAGCTATTCGCCCGATTAAGGAAATTCCAGCTGAGACTAAATCCCAACAAATGCACTTTTGGTGTAAGATCTGGTAAACTGCTAGGTTTTATTGTGAGCCAAAAAAGGATTGAAGTCGATCCAGATAAGGTCAAAGCTATCCAAGAGATGCCGGCACCCAAAACTGAAAAAGAAGTCTGAGGGTTCCTTGGGAGGTTGAACTATATCGCCAGGTTCATATCTCATCTAACAGCCACTTGTGAGTCCATCTTCAAATTACTTCGAAAGGATCAAGATGTGGTATGGAACGATAATTGTCAGAAAGCCTTTGAGAAGATAAAGGAATACCTACAAGAACCGCCAATCTTGATGCCTCTAGTACCCGGACGACCCCTGATCATGTACCTGACTGTGCTAGAGGGATCCATGGGATGCGTGTTGGGACAATATGATGAAACCGGCAGGAAAGAGCATGCAATCTATTACCTCAGTAAGAAGTTTAATGACTGTGAAACGAGATATTCAATGCTCGAGAAAACATGTTGCGCATTGGCTTGGGCAGCAAAGCGCTTGAGACAATATATGCTCACCCATACGACTTTGTTGATCTCCAAGATGGATCCTGTCAAGTACATATTCGAGAAGCCCGCTCTCACCGGCCGAGTAGCTTGTTGGCAAATGGTGTTAACAGAGTATGACATCCAGTATGTTACGCAGAAAGCCATCAAAGGAAGTGTGCTCTCTGAATACCTTGCCCACCAACCTATGGACAACTACCAGTCCATGCGCTTCGATTTCCCCGATGAAGACGTCATGTTTGCCAGAGATTATGCCAGGCCAGGCCCAGATGATGGACCCGAACCAGGATCGCGATGGACGCTCGTGTTTGATGGTGCCGCAAATGCCAAAGGTTGTGGAATTGGGGTAATCATTACTTCTCCAACTGGTTTTCACTTACCATTCACCGCCAGATTATGCTTCAAATGTACTAACAACATGGCCGAATATGAAGCTTGTATTTTCAGAATTGAAGCTGCCATTGATAATAGAATCAAGATTCTAGAAGTCTATGGAGATTCCGCGCTTGTCATATGCCAGATTAAAGGGGAGTATGAAACACTGGACCTCAAGTTAATTCCTTACAAAGATCATGTCTTGAAATTAATCCCGTACTTTGATGAGATCACTTTTCATCACATTCCCAAAGGAGAAAATCAGTTGGCTGACGCTCTAGCAACACTAGCATCTATGTTTCAGGTCAAGTGGAAGAATGAGGCGCCATCCAAAATCAGTTGGCTAAGTGCTTAAGGGATTATTTTGAGGAATTTGGCGTAAGATGGTGTTGAAGTGTCTATTTTGACTGAAACTTGGAATGAGAAGGAAAGTGAGAAAAATTGGGATTTGTCAATTATTTGCGATTGCCGGAGGTTTCCGGATGAGGTAGGTGATTTACTATCGGAGTGTGAAGTAAAGCTCACACGTTGACTTTGTTGTTGGAACGAGTCCGATATTAGTGACTCCATATGGTGTGTTTTCGTTGGGATTGGAGAAGTTGAAGAGTCAACTTGAAGACCTTCTAGGAGAGAGGTTCTTTTGTTTGAGTGTGCTACCGTAATGTGCACCAATTTTGTTGGTTAGACAGATAGAAGGTTTTGTGAAGCTTTGGGTGAACTATAGATAAGTGAACAAGGTGACTATCAAGGATAGGTGTTCGCTTCCAAGAGTTAATGATTTGATGGAACAATTTGTCATGCCCTAAATTTGTCCTACCAGTGTAGACTTCATTTGTGCGTCCGTCCACGAGCATTATTCCAAGATCTAAAAAATATGTTGTGTGGCTTGCTAACGAAACTCAGAAGATTGCAGGGTCGAACTACATATAGATTAGGGTACATTTGGAGGTTCGTTTTGAAGGTGTATATGCAGTGATGTTCTCAATATGGGCAGGCAGGATTTAGTTTCATGATTGGGGCCGGGGTGTGCACGGGTTAAATGAGGTATGTTTGAGATTAGGTTTATTCCAGTTCAAGATAGTTGTTCAAGAGAGTCCGTAATGAGGATTATGGTTAATCATGGCTCAAGTGGTTGCGTTCAAGATGCATTCATTTGTGGATCAATTCATCAAAGTATGATCATATGTGGTCATGACTTTGCCCAAAAAAGTTCCAAGTGCACGATTTGTTTATGTTGAGTTTACATTGGATCAAATAATTCAAAGCCTCGGTGTAAAATTGATTCTGATTGTCTAAATATGGAATCACGTCTTTATTCAGCCTTGGGTGAAGATTCAAGATTGTGGATGTTTCTGGGAGTTAATTTGAAACATTGTTCAGTAATTTCAAAGGGGGATTCTAGCTTCAATGTAAGGGTGGCATCAACATTGAAATTCAAATTTTATCAAACATGATTCATTTTGGTTCAGGATTAAGGAAAATGATTTCAAGGGTAAGTGTATTTGCAACTTGCATTCAAGATTCACAATCTAAATTTGTCGCAAGCAGAGATCAATTAATCACACATCAATGTTGTAAGGATTGGTTTCAAGCCACGAATTTTCGTGATTTATCTTAAGTTATTACAAATGTGTGACAAATTTGATTAGAGAATCACGTAAGACATTCCCAAAATTGGATTAAAGAATCATGTGAAGCATACTGGTGCCTATTGGGCCAAGCGTTTTGGCAAAGCAAATGGTGTACATCTGTTGTACGTTTCATGTATGATGGTGGTAGCTATGATGCTACATTTCAGTTCTTGATCAGTACGGCAATTCTAGTATTAAAACAATATTAGCTTTTGGCTCCACTTCATCCAAACATTCCATAAAAGGCAATAATTAATATTACAGTGATGTTTGTTTTAAGATTAAGGTTCTAAGACCTTACAAACAAGAGAAAATGTTAACTGTAGTCTAGAATCTGTCAAGGATTACAAAAGTGATAAGAGCTGAAACAAACCAATTCCTGTTGAAGAATCCCATGGAGACGAGTCATCATCGATATTCGACCTTGGCGAAAGGGTCGATTTTCATCACAAAAGGGCGGACGGTATCTCAATGCTATGATAGCAGCAACATGGTCTGCCATAACAAGACACTCAGACCACCCAGCCCTCGCATAACCGCGCGCAGAATTTTGCGAAACATGTTGTATTGTCGTCACGTACGGGGTATTACAATGACTAATTTTCATGACAGTATAGGTCCAGCTAACTTCACTCTCACAACCTGCAATAAAAGATAACAGCAAACACAGCTATGAAGAAAAAAAAGAGAAAACCGGTACATAAAGAAAAAAGAGAAATGGAGTTTGGAAGGCACATAAGAAAGGCTGTTACCAAACGCATTCTATGGAAGAAGCTGATATTCTAAGTGACCGCATAGGAATCATGGTAAAGGGAAAGCTTCGATGCATTGGCACCTCAATTAGATTGAAGTCGCGCTTTGGCACTGGTTTTATTACAAATATTAGTTTCTATGGAAACAATAATGAAAATAGTCCTGTAAATGGTGATGCAGTATCAACAAGAAGACATCATGAGGCTGTGAAGCAATTCTTCAAGAATGTGAGATGAATAATTGTGATGATTTATAATCTTTTCATGACAGACAAGAATTTTTTTTACCTGTTAAATATTTTGGCAGCGTTTAGATGTAGTGCCAAAAGAGGAGAACAACAACTTTCTAACTTATGTGATTCCTCATGAAAGAGAGACACTCCTGACAACCTTTATTGATTTTTTCTAGTTGCTATGGTTATGCTGATTATGTGAACATCTGAATCATGCTACTACACTCCATCTGAACAACGCCCTCGTACAAAAACCCACACAACAAGCACAAATCAAAACCGTACTGCCAGACAATACCTGCTACTACACTCCAAACTGAAACCTGCTACACTCAACAGCCACACCGGTTCAAACTTTTCTCCAAAAGTCCGCGCCTTCCACTCAGAATAATGCAATTCCAATAATGTTTAATTCATGTACCGGAAGAATGGGAAAAGCTGTCGTTAGTGCAGCAGAAGCTGCTGGACTGAACGTTGTGCCAGTATCGTTTGGGGTTGAAGAGGAATCAGGACGGACTTTTGAGATCGGTGGAAGGGAGTTTTCTTGTGAATGGTCCTTCTGATAGAGAGGGTTTTCTTCAATCTGTTCTCGATAAATATCCAAATTTGATTGTTGTGGACTACACCGTACCAAATGCAGTCAATGGCAATGCAGAGTTATACAGTAAGGTCGGAGTACCCTTTGTGATAGGAATCACCGGTGGAGATAGGGATTTGCTGCATAAGACAGTTGAAGATGCAAAGAATTATGCTATCATATCCCCGCAAATGGGAAAGCAGGTCGTTGCTTTTCTTGCAGCTATGGAAATTATGGTGGAGCAATTTCTTGGAGCCTTTTCTGGGTATTCCTTACATGTATTAGAGTCTCATCAAGCAAACAAAGTTGACGCATCTGGAACTGCCAAGGCTGTGATATCTTGCTTCGATACACTGGGGGCGTCTTTCGATATGGATCAGATACAATTGATCAGGGACCCTAAGCAACAAGTTGAAATGGTGGGAGTTCCAGAGGAGTATTTGTCTGGTCATGCCTTTCACATGTATCATTTGGAGTCACCAGACAAAACAGTTTCATTTGAATTTCAACATAATGTCTATGGTAGATCAATATACGCTGAGGGCACTGTTGATGCTGTACTATTTCTTCCTAAGAAGATTGAATCAAAGAATACCAGCCTTCAACACACACCAGCCTCGCACCAGTCTGCATTCAAAACTGTTTCGGAATTTTCTCGCGCGCCATGATACGACCTGTAAACAATAGCATGTGGATTATGTATGCAAGGCAAAGATTAAAATGCAATGAGAAATGGACAAACTTGCATAATACTCGGCGTACCGACTTGTTGTTGCCGTATGCTACTCCGTTGGTATGCCATGAAAGATGATCATCTAAACTCTCGGAAAGAGTATGCAAAATGTTTGAAGCTCAGGACAAATTATCATATTGGTTGGATTTGTCTCAAACTTAGGGAATGCCAATACGAACTGCAGATAGATTCAAATGCCATAGACGTGAGTTTCGAAGAATGCTGTTGCACCCTAAAATTTGCCCACCTGTATATTACTTTCATCTGTATATTCATCTACCAATTGTTAATAAGAAAATCCAAAAAATATGTGACTCTACTTATGGTCAAGGTGCAGAGTTTTCTGCAAGTAGGGTTGAATCAAGTATCAGTTGGGGTCTGTCAGAAGTGTTCCAGGGCAGGTTTTTGTGTATGATGTTATTTCTAGTTCAAGAGGTCCTAACTTAATCGTGGTCAGTCAAGAGTTCGTTTTCAGGAACGAGACTAGGGTGTGCAATTCAGATAATATGTATTTAGGGTTGCAGTAAGGATTTGTGCTTTTCAATCAGGGTTTGATGCGGTATATTGAGGTTTATAGTACAATTCATAATCTTCTGATCTTAGAAGCACTTTCTTGCTCAATTGGTTTATAATGAGGATTTGTCAGTGGCCAGGTTCAGATAGTTTCGTTGCTTTGATTCCATTCATCAGAAGCTGATTCAAGGATTGTGATGTGGTTCATGATTTATGGCGGCCAGGTGCAATCTCGAGGTTTTAAGTGTGGTGGCATATTACGAAACCCATTTCAAACGAATCCAATTCCTATCCACCTTGCCAATTACCCATTTTTTTTGTTATCCATTTAAAATCCATCCAATTTCAAAGCCACTCCTCCCAAAATCTGAACTCATCCAATTTCTACAAATATTCATTCATTTTCAATTATCTAAACCACTTATCCATTTTAATGTCCATTTTCTTCCTAACCATTTTCATAAATTCTATTTTTCATTTCAATACCCATTTTCCCTTTCCATTTTCCATTTATTATTCATTTAATTATACATCCATAACATTTTAAATCATAATTGAGTCCTACCATTCCATTACCATTTTCTTTCTCATCATTATTTCTTTATATATAGAAGAGTTGTCTTGAGCCCAATCTACAAAAAGAACATACACAAGGCCTTCAGGCCGTTTCATCATAAAAATTCAGCAAAAAGTTGTTTACAGAGCCCATTGGTTACATACAAGCCCACTTGTCACGAAATATCACACAAATTATAAAGGTAGCACCAATGTCGTACTACCAACAATATGGCCCGTATTCTGTGATCTTGCCCCATATTGAGCCACAAAACAGAATCCTGAAGCAGCAGTGAAGGGAGCTCCCAGCATTTACCATCATGATGCAACCTGCGTAAAACCGTATTATTCACATACGACAAATGCAAGGACGCGCATCCACTTCCCACGCTCCGTACCGGTAATGCACGTATGACAAAGCTCCAATGGAAAACACCAAATTATGAACAACACCATGCCGCATCCGAAAATGTTCTGCACAAAGTGAAGAAATAGGAGAAAAGGTCATCATCATCTTTTAAACCTACATGACAATGGTACTCAAGAAAAAATGGAACAAAAAAGAAACGTAAAATACGGTATACGGATTGGTGCGAGTGTCTTGAATGGCTTGCTATTCCACTACACAAGATTGGCACAAAGGCCGTTACATGTACGACCTGCAAATGACGCAGCCATTAGACAAATTCACACAGACTCACAACCGTCTGAATTTCCAGCTAGCATAAGTAAGCATACCATTCATCAACCCGAACCATTTGATCTTTTGGGGGAGCCCCATATTACAAAGCTTCAGAAAAATGTTAAGAAACCATGTTCTGTGACGCGCAAGTAGCAGCAGCCCACATACCCTCAAAATACCATAATTGGTACCTGCATAAAAACAAAAAAACAGGGCAATGCAAAGACCGCCGCGGCATCCCGTACACTACGCAATTCATCCTGCAAAAAGAGATGCAAAACCATGAATGACTCATGAAATCGCAAGCCATGTGACACGCGGTTAAAATCGTCAGCCAGCTTGATAGGATAGTTCACAATGTTTGATACAATAGGAAATATTCTGGTATGAAAATGTTGCGAAATTAAAACTTAAATCTACAACAGAACCATTTCATTCAGGTCGTCATGTGAACAAAAGCACCAATAATGTACCTGTGACGATTGCTATGCAGTCGACGTACTCCGCACCCAATTTTCACACTCACTGAATGAAAGCGCCAATATTAATGCTGTTTGGGCATCACTTTTAGTTGAAGAATGTGCAAGACTTGGTTTGGCGTATTTTTGTGTCGCACCTGGTTCCAGATCTTCCCCGCTTGCTGTTGCTGCTGCAAGCCACCCACTAATTACTTGTATTTCATGCTTTGATGAGCGTTCACTTGCATTTCATGCTGTTGGATATGGAAGAGGTTGTCACGTTCCTGCAAGAAGTCATAACATCATCAGGCACTGCAGTTTCAAACCTTTGTCCAGCTATTGTGGAATCAAGACAAGATTTTGTGCCGTTTACTTTACTTACAGCAGACCAACAAACCATTCTGCAACACTCAACACACCAGCCTGCTGCACCAAAGCCCCCTCCAAACTCTGCTACACAACCAGCAACATAAAACCATCAGCTTCACAAACAAACAAAAAGACAAGCTCTGCACAAGTTGTACCAGCCTGCTACAGACCAACCAACAACTGCTGCAAAAACCATACAACACAACAAAGAGCAGTATCAAGGGTACAACCAGCCTGCACAACCAAAAAAACTTGTTGCCTCAAAACCTGCTCCATAATAGACCCACACCAGACAAAACCTGCAAGGCAGCAGCACATCACATTTTCAACCCCACGCCAAAATCAATGGCTCTTCAATAAGACCACCAACCTTAAATTAAAGGGAATACATTCAATATTTTCCAAGCCTTCAAATACCTCTCTCAAGTACTTCAAACAAGAAAAAAAAAGGGAAATTCTCTTCAACCGCAAATCCCTCAAACAACTCACACCACCTGCATCAAACACTCACTCTTACATCTTGAATCGCTCTCACTTCAAGAACATTAACCATCACTCCTTACTCACTGTAACATAAACTCCACCATATATACATCTTCAACCACCTTCAACACCATCAAAGCTTCCATTAAACTACCATCAAACCAACGCCGCCGTTAACCACGAACACTCCATGAACCCAGGTCTCCCCTGTTCCAATATAAATCGACCCATCTCAGAAGATCTTCATATTCAATTCACCAACTGTTAACAGAACCACTTCATCCCACTCAAACCATCCAAAACCTTCAACTTAACTCCAAACACTACCACAAGTTCAATCCAGATTTTTCCAATCTTCGACTTCATCTTTCTCAACAGAAACAAACATAAACAAAACAACCCGGAAGTTGAATCCAACATCTACTTATCTTTCAAAACCCATGCGAAAATCCAAACCGCGGTATCAGTAAAGCTCCGCACCATCCCAGACTTTCAAACCCAAACTCTCCAAAGTAACCTCTTCCATCAAACTACAAAACCTCCATTAACAACCCAATGTAAACACCATCAACCTTTTTTGTTTCACAATCAAACCGAACAGAGCTTCAACCCAGAAAGCCACCGCTTGAAACTCCATCTCAGCCCCATCCGAAAACTCACCATCAATCTCAATAACCTCTTCTCCACACATTATTTCCTCATCAAGTTAACATCTAAAAAAGGAGACCCTCACCGCCAACTTTCATTACCACTAATTCAACATCCTCTGTAACTCTCATAAGACACCATTTGTGTATCCTATAACC